TACGGCCGTTGAGACCTTATCACTAAGCACAGTACTTTTCTCTTCCCTATGATTCTTGAGCTTCCTTCTCTTCGTCACTAGCCAGGTGGAATCAGATGGTTCCACTTTACTCTCGCCGCAGTTGGAAGCCGTGCGTTCACCAGACACGCAACGCTTCATCGCTGTGGTATCACCCTGCTGCCTTACAATGTTGGCACTGTTTGCCCTCCTAGGTTTTCGGGGCTGTTTGCGTGCTATTGCAGACTGCTGGGCACACTTTACCTCTGTTGCTTCTTTCGAAGCTAGGAGATGTGGTTCTGTCTCAGACTTATGACAAAGGCCAGAATCCTCTCTTATAACATCTGTACTAGATGCTGCATTTTCCCTCTCATCAGAGGTTTTTGGTAACTTCTTGGACATGAGAAGTCCTACGGCCTCTTGGATGAGGACATCCAACGAGTTTGTACAAAATTTGCACGCCCATGGAGATGATGGCTTGCTGCATCTCCTGTAGGCTGATGGTGATAAGCCAGTGCAAACTTTATGAAACCATAGGTTGCAATTATCACATTGCATCCCATCATCCGCCGGAAAGTGGCAGTCTGGTCGTCCACAGCTATTTGTGAGACTCATGTCAGTATAAGTTGTTTAAGTTACACAGACAAATGTGTATATATACCTAAATACAGAGATATAAAAACCACACAAATAAACACTACTTCAACTAATTAGACCAGTTAAAGTAGACCAAAAAGCTTCTGATGCGATTTACACAACAAAAGCAGAAGTTACTCCACAACGTAAAAATGCCACTCTCCTTTTCGAAGCGCGCCCTCTTTTTCTTACGTTGTGGAGTAACTTCTGCTTTTGTTGTGTAAATCGCATCAGAAGCTTTTTGGTCTACTTTAACTGGTCTAATTAGTTGAAGTAGTGTTTATTTGTGTGGTTTTTATATCTCTGTATTTAGGTATATATACACATTTGTCTGTGTAACTTAAACAACTTATACTGACATGAGTCTCACAAATAGCTGTGGACGACCAGACTGCCACTTTCCGGCGGATGATGGGATGCAATGTGATAATTGCAACCTATGGTTTCATAAAGTTTGCACTGGCTTATCACCATCAGCCTACAGGAGATGCAGCAAGCCATCATCTCCATGGGCGTGCAAATTTTGTACAAACTCGTTGGATGTCCTCATCCAAGAGGCCGTAGGACTTCTCATGTCCAAGAAGTTAGCAAAAACCTCTGATGAGAGGGATAATGCAGCATCTAGTACAGATGTTATAAGAGAGGATTCTGGCCTTTGTCATAAGACTGAGACAGAACCACATCTCCTAGCTTCGAAAGAAGCAACAGAGGTAAAGTGTGCCCAGCAGTCTGCAATAGCACGCAAACAGCCCCGAAAACCTAGGAGGGCAAACAGTGCCAACATTGTAAGGCAGCAGGGTGATACCACAGCGATGAAGCGTTGCGTGTCTGGTGAACGCACGGCTTCCAACTGCGGCGAGAGTAAAGTGGAACCATCTGATTCCACCTGGCTAGTGACGAAGAGAAGGAAGCTCAAGAATCATAGGAAAGAGAAAAGTACTGTGCTTAGTGATAAGGTCTCAACGGCCGTAAACACTGATAAGATTAAACCTTCGGACTCAAATTACAGTATCGTAATTTGGAACTTGGAGGAATCGAAGAAGGTAGATCCAGCTGCTCGACATGCTGACGATCTCGAAATAGTGAGCTCCATCATCCGTGAAATACTTCCGGAAAAAGCAAATGGTGTTCACTTAAGGAAAGTCATCAGAATCGGTAAACGAATCGCCGATGCAACGGAAAGTTTCCCACGACTGCTGAAGATAGTACTGGGGAACGAGATGGAGAAAAGTATTATTCTCAACAACGCATTCAAGATCAAGGACAAAAAGATGAGAATTAGGCCGAACTGGCCTCTGGAAGATAGAATTAGGAGAAGAGAAGCCGTGGCTGAATTAAAGGCCCGATAAGAAAAAGACCTCAGACCGTTGGGTTTTTGGGTAGTGAGGTCTCGGAAACCTATGTTGCCCAGACCTCTGTTCATGAGTCGAGTGAACACGTAGGTCTCTCAGTATGCTATACGAACACTTGTAGTTTTAGGAATAAGCTTCCTGAACTAGGAGTGTTGTCTGAGGAACTACAACCTGATGTGATTGCTATCACCGAAACAGGGTTGTTAGTGGGTGTAGACTTAACTCCATTCATACCTGGGTACATCTGCATTAGAGCAGACAGAGTAAGTCGTCGGAAATGTTGGGAGGGGGGTTGCTCTATACATCCGGAATGACAGGAATTAGATCGACATTGTCGGAAGCTCATGATAGCGGCACCAGTGAAGCCGCAAGCAGTGTCATTAACTTGAACAAGGGCACTGTGACAATTGGGGTTATTTATAGAAGTCCTACCAGCCAAGCTGACGATTTCGTTCTAGATCACCTCCGGACGTTGAGTAGTAGGAATAGGTGTCTAGTAGTAGGTGATTTTAATGCCCCACATATTAATTGGGAGGAATTAACATCAACTACTTCGTACAATTGTTCCAACAGGGAACTCATACTGGCAGCACTCGAATGCGCACCTGTGTAGCATATAGATGCACCAACACGATACCACCCTGAACATGATCCGTCCAGTCTGGATTTGGTGTTAGCACACCGGAAGGAGGATGTCGGTGACATTAGGTGCCTGGCACCGCTAGGCAGTAGTGACCATATAGTTATCACTTTTATGTTTAGGATCCACGCTGTCATACATAGGTCAACAGCTGCTCGCCCAAACGTTTGGAAAGCGAATATACCTGCAATCCGAAATGCAGCAACCCTAGCTGACTGGTCTGTTAATACACACTAGACTGTCGAGGAGGCTTGGATGGGATTTAGGAACACACTAGATTGCGTCACTGCACCCTTTTGACCTTGGTCTACGCCTCAAAAACTATCGCGTAAGCCACCTTGGATTAGTGATGAAATATGGAGGTTATTAAAAAGAAGAAAGAACTTATGGGACCGGTTTGTTGTGACTGAGAGGGATGAGTTTTGTTCGGAATACCGCATAATTCGACACCTTTGTAAGTATAAGATTGACAAAAGTCGTATAGAGTATGAGAGACAGTTAGTGCTGGATTGTGTGCATTATCCAAAAAGACTGTACTCGTATATCAAACGCAGGACTAAAACTAGCAGTGGCATACCGTCCCTCATTAGCAACACTGGAGAGGTTGCCGAGTCAGACGAAACAAAAGCTGAGAAGCTCTCCGAATACTTTTGTGATATTTTCTCGCCTAATCGTACCCCTCAGGGGTGTAGCGAGGTCACTGATGTAGCCACTAAAATGCCCACAGTTGTAGTAGAAGATGCAGTGGTTCTGAAACTACTGTCTAAGCCGAAGCCAGGTAAATCACCTGGACCAGACGGACTTCACCCTAGATTGCTAATCTCCTTGGCGGATGTAATATACATTCCACTTACGGAGATTTTTCAGATGTCTCTGACCCAGGCTAGGCTACCCAGGGACTGGAAAGATGCTTTTATGAGCCCCATCTTCAAACATGGGAACAGGCAGTTAGTATCTAACTACCGGCCTGTAAGTCTGACCTGTATTATAGCAAAGGTATTGGAAACGCTCATAAGGGATCAGCTCTTAGCTCATATGGAAAAACACGGCTTACTGGCAGTGGAACAGCATGGATTCTGACCAGGAAGATCCTGCTTGACAAACTTACTGTTAGCTAGGGAAGATTGGGTCGAGGCCAGGGATAAGAACCATCTACTGGACGTTGTCTTTATCGATCTTAGTAAAGCATTCGATAAGGTATCCCATTTAGGTCTTCTTAGTAAACTTAAACGTTTTGGATTAGACCAACGTTTATGTGAGTGGTTTAGTGACTACCTGATGGATAGGAGGCATAAGGTAGGGGTTAATGGTGTACTGTCAGGGTGGAAAGCAGTACTGAGTGGAGTACCTCAGGGAACTGTACTTGGCCCCTGCTATTCCTATTATACGTAAATGAAGTGCCGAAAATTCTTACCTCATCTTCCTCACTATTTGCGGACCATATTAAGATATGGAAAACCGTAAATAGTGACGATGATAAGTTGGTACTACAAACGATTAGATAAATTAGCCGAATGGGCTAACCTTTGGAGTCTGGAAATTAATTCCAAGAAAAGCGCCGTAATGCACCTAGGTCAGAAGTCTTACACGTCGTACTCCATGGGGGACACAGAACTGCCAGATGTTAGGGGACCAAAGGACTTGAGAATTATTGTAAGCCATGACTTGCAAACAACGGGAAATTGTAATCGAGCCGCAGCTAAGGCTTTTCGAATGCTATGGGCACTTCGGAGGGCTTTCAAACGATTAGACGAGTGTATGTCCCAAGTACTCCATGCAACATATGTCAGACCTCATCTAGAGTACTGCATACAAGCGGCGAGTCCATGCTTCAAAAAGGAGGCACATATCCTGGAAAGAGTACAGAGGGTAGGAACCAAATTAGTTAGTGGTATCTCACACCTTCCTTATGATATGAGGACGGAGCATTTAAATCTCTTCCCATTATCATACAGAAGGAGGAGAGGCGATTTAATTTTGGCTTACCGTATATTCGAGGATGATTTGGGGGTTGACCTTACAAATTTTTCCTCTCCCTCTAGGATACATTTACGAGGTCACCACAAGAAGGTGCTCAAATCGAGGTCGAATTAAATGTGTGGAGTTTGGATTCTCTCACAGAGTGGAACCTCTTACCTGATTCAGTAGTAACAGCTCCATCGGTGAACGCTTTCAAAGAGAAACTGGATCTCTGCAGAGATATATATCGCGGGGATTAACATAGGCAACAGGAGCCTTGTATCCGTATTATCGGAATGTGACTGGTTAACCAGTCAAAATCTCTTTGCAACGTGAAAGGTAGACTGACGATGATGCGTTAATGACTTATGAGAGCATTTCACTGAATAAGAACACAAAGATTACCCTGTACTAACTTTGAGTAAGTTTTCCGATCTTGTATATGGCGCTAGGTCGTTCGTTCGTCAGCACACCTAGAAAATACCAGTTAGTTGCCCCATTCTGCTGTACTCCAAGATAAACTAAGGAAGTTTGTCTATTAAAAATGTATACTGACTTACCACCTCCACCCATGTTTGGTGGAAATGGAATTTCTCCCGTCAAGAAAACGACAATATGATTTACATCGTTTAGCGGCAATAGATCCAGTAAGAACTGGGTTTCCGTTACCCTATTGAAGTTTGTTTGTACCTGGAATTCGATTTTAATGTCTTTAAGCCTTACTAATCGTCCAGCTACTACTGCTGCGAACATCTCGAGGTGAACAACATTACAGTAGAAGTAGCGTATGAATTTACAAAACGCACTGTCGAAAATGTGGTTACTATCTTACAATATTCAACAGATTGATTCAGACTTGTTGATTGAAGATAAAAAGCTTGGAGCCTAGGTTAATACTCTCCAGAACGAATTTTTCGCTTATGCATACCCTTCTCAAATAAGTCCATTTAGGATGTTGATACCATTTATTCTGGGGGTCGTTTCCAGGAGTTGATGCTTCGGAGTGAGAACAATTTTTTAATTTTTTTATTACAGCTTGATTCCACACAGTATTTTGGTACAAGTATGAAATTTTCAGCATGTGATACCGGCAGTTTAAATTTAGCAGGCCGACCATAGATATCAGGTATGCGTCGGCCGTGGATCAACCCTCTGCCTACTATCTATTTTGGAATTCCCTGAGCCAATTTAGAAATCTACCTTTGATACCAAGGCTTTCTACCTTCATGAGTAGTCTTTTGTGAAGAACTTTATCAAGGGCTTTGCTGAAGTCCATGAAGATGACGTCAACGAGTCTTCTGTTGTCACTTGATTTGAACCAGCTTTCTCTTGCAGTGAGGAGACTTGAAAGGCATGAAAGGTTTCCTCGGAAGCCATGCTGTGCTCTGGATAACATTTTGTTGTTTTCCAGATATGCCATGATGCTTTTCTTGTTGATCCTTTCCAGTGTCTTGATTAAAGTGCTACTGAGACTAATAGGTCTATAATTTGAAGGGCTTTGTCCTGATCCTCCTATGTGGATGGGGGTTACTATGGCGTCTTTCCTGTCATGCGGTAACACTCCATTTAGGAAAGATAGCTTGAAGATCGTGGTCAATGGGACAGCTATGTGAGCTGATAGCTCGCTGAGAAGCCTTGGATGAAGATTATCAGTATCCAATGATTTCCCTGCATCTGGTTTCATAAGGCAATTGAGCACGATTTCTTGGTAAACGTCAACGGAATCTGTCCCATTTTCCTGTGATGCAGCCAGAGCTGATCCTATAGGGAGTAACGACTCCTATGTGAAGACTTGGGAGAAGCACTCTCCCGTTGCTTCTGCTTTTTATTTATCTTCTTCGATTGTGTCATTGTCAATAGTCAGGTTTGGGACACCATTGGATGTTTTGTTCATGAAGTTCATGTACGAGAAAATTCCCTTAGGTTGTGCCTTTGCATTTTGAGCCAGATGTGCTTAGAACGTCATCCTTGATTGACGGATTTCCGCAACAGCTATGTTGCCAGCAGTGTTGTTTAACTTCCTGGTCTCAGGAGTCTTAAGTGTGGCAAATAGGTCACAACATTTGTGTTTGCGTCTGAGTAACTCACGAATCACTCAGTTTATCCAAGGAGGGCAGTGTTTTCGACCTTTTGGGGCAGACCAAAGGACAAAAGGTTCAGTCACTTGAGCTTAAGTTGTTTAAATTAGTTCCATGCGAATTCTGCTTGGGACTCTGGGTTGATGTACCAGCTCATTGATTCGGCTACTGAGACAACCGCATTTATATCAGCTTTCCAAACGCTTGGTCAGGCTGAGGTTTTGGCCCATAATACTGCTGCTGTGAACTTGAAAGTGAGCCCAGTGTGATCACTTCTTCCTAAAGGAGGAAGATGTTGTATAAGATCCATGTCCTCACCATGGGCGAACACTAGGTCCAGAGTTGGAGAGGAGTGCTGTCAGCCATAGCGCGTGGGCTTAATGACATTTTGGACTAGGGTTGGCAAAATGCCAGATTCCAGCAGTTTATGACCAAAGGAGTTGTCTGAAGAGGCTACCCCATGGGCACTACAGAAATTCGTGAGACACCTTTCAGGTCAGCTCGTCCTGCGGATTCTAATCTTCCAGAACTTCGAATTCACTTCTCGCTGAAATATCACTTATCTACCTCACGATAATCTTTTTATTTACGCACTATTATACTCTATTTTATCTTAACTACCTAGGCCTTTATTATACCTACAACTTACTCTTCGTTCATATTTAATGCTTGCTTTAATTCTGGTTGCTTTGAAGAAAAACACAACAACACCAATGTTTGAACAAAACTATATTTTCATCGGAAAGGTCATAGTTTCCATGCTTAGACAAGTATGGTTACCATTAAACATCGCAAACATATACTGTCATTCCAAGGAGTCTCTACCTCCTTCTTGTAAATGCACTTTCAATGATGTATTATCTATAATTGTATTTTGTGCCATTTTGCAGTTTCCCAGTACGTTCTCCCCTTACGTGAATAGCTAATATTCATGTGGGGGCATAGCACTCACACAAATGTATGCTATTCACTGGTTGACCATAACTATTATCAGGAAAAGGAACAAAGTTTGTGTTGTTGTTCAGCTTTGATGGTGACCTTAGTGAAGGGTTTACAACTTAACATTTATAAGAACCTGTTATGATCACTTGCACAATAACTAAACAATTTAAACTCTTGAAAAAGTATTAATTTATGATACTTCAGGATTTAAATTTATAACATAGCTGATCGTGCCTGTAAAAACGGCATTCATTTCTTGTATACTCACCCGCTTATACGAAAGATAAATAATTATTATTAAAGATGAAGTCGTAAGGTTTGTCTAGTCAACTGTTGGGGCGTTGAAGTCGCCGACTACGAGACTTCGACATTTCGATGTCCAGGAGCCTAGATTCTCAGTTAGGAAGTCATCTGCACTGCAGTCAGGACTGCGGAATACAGCAATGAGGTCAATATCTTGTCCTATGCATCTACGTCTGTTGCGTGAAGGTTCTCGCGGTTCACTTTTGTGAGCAAATGCTTCAATGCCACGCACGGTTAGACATTTCTTGAGGTAGATAACTACTCCACCTCCTTTGCAGCTTAGTCACTACACCCTATGCATCTCGAATTTTGGCAGGTTAACTTCGTTATCAGTGACACTGGGTATGAGCCATGTCTCTGTGATGATAATTACATCCGGGTTTCGGAGTCTATCATATTACCCACCTTAGTTAGTTTGTTCAACAGGCTGCAGACATTAGTGTAGCAAACCGTTAACTCGGCTTGGTGCTTCTTTGGTCTACTCACAGAGTTTCTATCATCAAACTTCGAACTCTGACAACCGGAAAACCCTCAATTTTTAGGCTTTTCGGCGTTTCGGCGTCGTTCGCTTAATTCTAGGGCCGCACACTGTCTTTTGACATGGTTACTAGGCATAAGTTGGCACGGACGTATACACCTGATCCTTTAGGAGCATGACAGTTGCCTAGAGTGGCTTTCGCACGATTCTATATAAGCTGTGTATTGTCATGCCTGATACTGTTTTTGACAGTAGCCCATCTAAAAGAGGCTTGACCAAATTAAGGTCATGCTCGAACCTGGCCTTGGTATCGGAGGCCGGTGGTTCTTCCACTTTGTGGAGAGTGGGAGACCTGCCAGAGATATCAGGTTTGCTCACCGTGGCTTTCTTGCTCTGAGGCATAAATGTCTTTCCGTCCTTCGGGGACAGTGTGGCCAGTGTGTTGTCCTTATCTCGGTTTTCGCGAGACTACACCACTCCATTCACTGGCGTTCTCCTCGCAAATCGTAGTCGATTTTATATGCCTGCTATCCATCGGTGTGGACAAGGCTTGATCTACAAGCCTCAGGACGACTTTTCTGCCCTGGTACGCCCCTTCTTCGTGCCAGCCTTTCTATTACTCTCACTGAAGGGCTTGTCTGGCATTGTGGGGCAGCACGGGTACCTGGAATATGGTGGATGCTTTTCTGTGCTGAAGGGCACTAATTCCCTGACAGAGACTCATCAGCAACGTGTATTTTTTTGCCCGTGACGCTAGTCACGTCATGGTTGTCCGAGCAGTAGTAGCTCTCCTTCTGTGGTGGAAGACCTTTGCAGTCCAGGAGCTTTAGAGCCCCACTTAAAGTGGCGATGGATTCTGTTATGCGAAACTTAGTCGTACTGTGGTGAGAGCTGCCTGCAAGACAAAATTGTAAGCAACAAGTGACGTTAATGTTTACGCCCCAAATGGGTTCATCCATGGGGGAAAATGTTTCAACCCTTTGGGATAAACCAGGGGATGCAAGATCAAGTTACTTGGGCTTAAAGTTGCTTACGTTGGTTTCATGCGGCTTGAGACTCCAGATTTATGCACCACTTCAGTGATTTGGTGGCTGAGATTTGCATCACCTTTACAAGGGTTTGATGCATTTGGGGTTTTGGACCATTGTACTGCTCCCGTGAACTTGAAAGTGAGCACAGCATTGTCTGAAGATGGTCTTATAGGGCTCGTCTAACCAACTGTTTGGTGCATCGGTGGCACAGCGGTGGAATGCTCACTGACCACGCTTGTGGTCCGGGGTTAGACCCTCGGCTAACTCACTCCTAAACCTCGCTAAGCCGATAATAAGACTAGTGAAGAGGGAAGGTTGGGTATGAAGACAGCAGAAACCCTATCCCTTAAAAATAAACACCAATGCTACAGAGACTATAATGCTGTAGCTTGAAGCCCTATGTTTCACTAGGAACGTAGAAGAATAAAAAGCAACTGTTGAGTCATCAAAGTTGCCGACTACAAGACTTCGACATATGGATGTTCATGAACCCAGCTTCTCTACTGGGAAGTCGTCTGCATTGCAGTCGGGATTGCGGCATTTAGCAATGAAGTCATAACTTGGCCCGTGCATTTAAGTCTGTAGCACAGAAGTTTGCATGTTCCACTTTCGTGTGCGAAAGCTTCAAAGCCGCTTCGGGTTAGGCACTTCTTGAAACAGATTTAAATGCCTTCCCCTTTGCGGCTCAGTCTGTCCGCCCTATGAACTGTGAAGTTCTGCAGGTCAACTTCGTTATCGTGACAACGGATGTGAGCCATATCTCTGAAATGATAATGATATTTGGGTTTCCGGATATTACGCATATTACCCAGGTTAGTCCAATTGTTCAGTAAACTGTCTGCATTAATGTAGAAAACTGTTTACTCGGTTTGGTGCTTCTGCGTGCCGCCTACAGAGATTTTGTAATTGGCAGAATTCGAACTTTCAAAACTCGGAAACCCTTAGGCTTTTCTTGCCATTTTGGTGACGTTCGC